AAACACTGCTCTCATGGTGTTGCTGGGTGAACTGGGGGCCTCGACCCAGCCTGTCCTAGAGATGTTGCTGAAGGTTCTTGGTCTTGTCACAAGAAAGAATTCAAGGACAGACACGACACAGTTGTATGAGCAACACAACTGTTGGGGAAGTTTATTAAAGCTGGAGAGAGAGAGAGAGCTGTGCACCCTGGAGGTTGGGTTTCTATCATTTATTGACAGTTGCTAACTAGGGGTGAAATATTCATTACTCTAGGCAGGGATTTCTTGGAAGCAAGGTTCCATGCCTTTTCTTCCTTATTTGGCCAGGAGTTTCCTGTCATGGCACCTGCCATCTTGAGCCTGTCTGGTTTGATCTGGCTTCTTGTGGAGTGCTGCCAGGACAGGCCTCTGACTTTCCCAATAGCTGGCCATGATTTCTGCTTTCCTGTTCGGACCATACTGCCTACTTTAATAGTCCCCCATCAAGGACTCTGGCTAAGAACCTTTTAAGGAAATATTGGGCGATGGTGCATCTTCTGTAACTGCTTCATGCTGGTGTGGGATGTTGACTCTGCCTGAGGGCTCCAGAAGTCCTTGCTATCTAAGTTTTAGGAAACCTGGATGGACAGCAGGGAGTAGAAGGAAGTCTTGGCTTCATCTCGTGGGGGTTAATAGTCTTTGTTTCTGGGTTTTTCTCAGGGTTGTTGCAGACCAACATCTGGAGATTCACCTGCCTGAGGCAGGAGGAAATCAATTTTATTAGTAACTTAGAATGCAAGGTCAACATCAGAATAAAGAGTATGGTTATTAGCGTCCAAGAAGAGGGTATAACCATGAAAGGCCTGGAAACTAGGAGAATAAGGAATCCCACCAGGAGGAAGAGGAGGTAGGGTGGGTTTATGCAGGACCGTGGTCCACTTAGCTACTGTCTGGTGACCTGAAGGCTTTTAACTTCTCCAGATGAATGGATTCATACACAGCATGGTGTGTTAGCCATTGTGCAGACTTTCCCAATTTTTCTAAGAATGTGTTCAAGGGCATCTTGTAGCCAGGTGGCTTATTGCCTGATTTTATCTATATGGCTTCTTACTTCCCAGGAATAATACAGGTGCAGCAGGCTGTTAGCGGTCGTAAAGACTCTGCCTCACTTAGCAAGCAATCACGTAATTAATAAGAGGCATTTCTATGAAAAGAAAAGGAAAATAAGTAAATGAGTGGAGCAAATTACAAACCCAGTGTCTGAGTCCTCAGTGCTGCCAGTTGGGAGGTTTCTAGGTGTCAGGCTCAAAGCATCCTCAGATGGACTGGGAGCAGGCAGTGGCAATCCAGTGGGTCCTTCTGCTTTGTAGTTTAAATGTTTCTCATGATCCTTTTGAGTGGCCCATAGAGCACGAAGGTTGTCCATCCATGAGTTTTGTGGCAATTTCACTGAAGTTTTCCTCAAGTTGTCCAGCTTCCATTTGCAGGGCTTCAGGAAAAAGGGCAGTTTTCGTTTTTAATGATTTTAAGTCAAGAGAATGGGCGAAGGGGCACCTGAGTGGCTCAGTCAGTTAAGCATCTGCCTTTGGCTCAGGTCATGATCCCGGGGTCCTGGGATCGAGCCCCACACTGGGCTCCCTGCTCAGTGAAGAGCCTGCTTTTCCCTCTGCCTCTGCTTCCCCTGCTTGTGCTCTTGCTCTCTCTCTCTCACTCTCACTCTATCTCAAATCAAATCCTAAAAAAAAAGAGAATGGGCAAAGATCGGAAACCTTAGTTTGGAGAGTCATAGCCAGATAGTCTAGGAGATCAGAAGAATTCAGAATCCAGCCCAGTTTTATAGGCAAACAGCAAACACTAAAAGACAATCAGAACTAGAGTCTAACATCCACAAAGATGTGTTATTGAAACATATTTTTTCTTAAAAAGCACCCACTTTTCCATCAAAGATAGCCAAATCAGGACTAATCCATTTGTAAAATCAGTCCAATTTTAACAAACTTTGCTTAATTATTTACATAAACTCAACAAGAATAATGATTGACCATGTAAGCTTTCTTTTAATCTACCTTGCCGGAACTTTTATAAGGAATTTCAGATCGAGCCTTTAATGGCCTCTCAAGGCCAGAAGCCAAGCCAAATACTTGCCATCAGATTTGCCTGCAATACCTGTAGATTTGGGTGAATTCTTCTTCTCGTGGTCCCCCAAATATCCTGAGGTTTCCTGCACCTGTTGAGGAAGTGACATTATTTACTCACCTGGTAAAGCCTGCTGGGAACTGTTAAGGGGCTTAACATTTAACATTTCCAAGGGGCTTTGTTGGCTCCATAAAGTCAACCTTAGTTCCTTAAAGCTGTCTGGTCGTATCTGAGTCTATGCATGTCTCTCTCAAATATGACATTCCAATCAAAGCTTTGGTACTATAACCAGTGTTTCTTTTTTTTTTATTTTATTTTTATTTTATTTTTAAAGATTTTATTTATTTATTTGAGAGAGAGAGAAAGCATGAGGTGGGGAGGGTCAGAGGGAGAAGCAGACTCCTCGCTGAGCAAGGAGCCCGATGCAGGACTCGATCCCGGGACTCCAGGATCATGACCTGAGCCGAAGGCAGTCACTTAACCAACTGAGCCACCCAGGTGCCCATAACCAGTGTTTCCAATGGTGTCTTGTTACAAGGAGAACAGATTCTCATTGAACTTATGCAAATAATTATAACTGCCATAAAAGAATACTCACAGAGAGTTACTGAATCCTGGAGGGTTCAGAGAGGGAGAAAAGATAAATGTTTCAATTTGTTCACAAAGGAATATTCTATCATATTTCTCTAAGTCATAGATAACTTCAGAGGAACTTAAATCTGGAAGAGCTAACATTAGAGAATCAGCAATATTTGGAATAAGTCATAAAAACTATTCTCATCTTCTTCAATTCATTTAGTCCCATGTTATTAATTTTGTTCTGTTTGAATGCAGCTTTCTCATTAGTTTAGAAGTTCTTACCCAGTCTAGTTTTATGATCTTAAAAATATCAGAAACCTGTGTTTGTTAGAAAATTCTTTTCATGAATCTCCTTGAAGACAAAACACATTGCTCAAGAGCATCAGGACAATAACTATAAATGACAAAAAACTAAAAAGTGGCCATGGTTAGAGATCTGATGAGAATTCATAATAATGCAATTGACAAGGAAATCCAATTATTTCTGTGACACACAACATTTCAGTAATTAAAATGTCAAATGATGACCTTATGCCAGAACATATTAAAACTTTAGGAATTTTGGGGGCGCCTGGGTGGCTCAGTTGTTAAGCGTCTGCCTTCGGCTCAGGTCCAGGTCCTGGGATCAAGCCCCGCATCGGGCTCCCTGCTCCGCGGGAAGTCTGCTTCTCCCTCTCCCACTCCCCCTGTGTTCCCTCTCTTGCTGTGTCTCTCTCTCTGTCAAATAAATAAATAAAATCTTTTAAAATAAAAAAAAAACTTTAGGAATTTTGTGTAATTTGTAAAACAGTTATAACCTTTACCTATACAATATGACTTAAGGTTTTTCATCGTTTGATAGTGCTTGCCATGTAACTTACACCAAATAAATAAGCCTAATTAGTCAAAAAGACTTCATTTAGATTTTGAATCTTGGGAATTTTGTTAAAAACCTCAAAGTTTTAAAGCACGTACCTAAATAGGATTGCAGATTATTAACAAAATGTAATATTTTTCTATTTAACCAACGTGGCAATAAGAGATTCTACAGAACTTTATATAGTTGCTAGCAAAACTTAGCTCCTTAAATATTGCGAAGTTTCAGTTCTCTTAAGTAATCAAAGACCTGATAAAGATAAAGAATAGAAACTTTGGTTTTCTGGGAAGATAAAGGAAAAAGAAAAAACTTTGTTTATAATTTCTTATCAAGAGCAGACCAACAATCCAAGAAGACTTTGTCTTTAATTGAGAGAAGAGCTGAATCTCAGTCTTATACCAGTGTACTTTTTAAAATCCATTCATTACAGTCTTAGTTCTGATCACACATAAAATTCTTTTCCAAAACTTTCCCTTCACAAACCTTCTACAACTTTCTCTTTCACTGAGATTTCGTCCTAAGCCTTCTCTCTGAATAACCAGTCTCATTGTAGGACAAAATTACCTCCTTTTGCCTCAACAAAAATATATTCCCATTCCTCATACCTTTTTTTTTTTTAACGTATCTCCTACTTTCCTACATATGAATTGCTTTCTTTGTCATTTCTATCAGTCATAATTATATTTAGCAGAATTTTAACTCTTAGAAACCTTAGCCTCCAGTGAAAATTAAGTAGTTAAGCAATTAGCTGTTGAACTGTTAAACCAGAATTCTTTAGATCTAAAATTTATGAGTAAATTTTTTAATTTTTAGAATCCTCAGTTTCTCCATAATAAAATGCCAAAAGCAGACACACTTACATTCAGTAATTAATGTTTTAATGTTTTATCTTATTTGGAAAAGACTTAAATATCCAGTGAATTTAATCCAATTTATCATTTAACTTAGCAAAACTTCAGAGTTTTAGGCTGCCAAAGATTTTGAAAGCTCTGTAAAAGCTTACCTATGAGCCTTTTTTTTAATCTATTCAACCTACTCATTCTTAACTATTACCCATGAAAACTTTTATGAGCCAAAGTCAGCCATCATTTTAAGTCATCGTTGCTGACAAATTGCAACAGATACTGAATAGGTTGTCCCTGTGTCCACTAAAATTCAATCAATTTGTTCCCTACTGTCAGTTGTAGTTGGGGCTCCTGTGGGGAAATCTGAAGTGGGTATTTTAAGTCCAGGGGAGTCCCTGGGCCCCCTCATGCTGATTTGGGAGATGCTCCCATTTGAACCTCATAAAGAGGTGACCCAGTGCCATAGTGGTGCAGACCAGGAGGAGGGGGAGGTGGTGGCAGAGAAGGTGAGGTGCCCCCAGCAAGGCTGGAAGCTGATAGAAGCCCAGAGGACAGAGAAAGAGGCCTGCCGGTCCTAAAGCTCATCAGCTCGCACAGATGAACAGATGTGTGTTTTCTTTCCACAGCCAAAAAGGGAAAACTGGCAGTCCACACTGGGCCAGAGAAGATTGGGAACATCCTTGAAACAAAAGGAGTTTCGGCAGCTGCTTGGGAATATCCCTCAAAGTCCCAGGCCCAAGGTAGACTAACCACAGACAATTGGCTCCACTTATAGCCGTTAACCCAGGAAATGAGTGAGGGAGAAGCCCCCACATACAAGAGTCAGGCAACATTCCTCCAGTCCTCTCAAGATATAGTTCAGATATGACACGCAAAAGAAGCAAACAAAGAGGAGAGTTGAGACACAGGAAAAACAGAGGGAGAGAAAAACATGATCTTGGCACAACCTGTTTACAAGAGAAAGAAAAGGGGGGGGCACATAGAGAATATGACAGAACACAAGTGAGGTGGCAGATTAACAGAAGTAGAAGGGCCTGAGGCAGCTGAGCTGATGGTGGATTGAGGGGTAGAGGATGAGGAGAGGGGTGTCTTCGGACCCCCTAAAGGAGTATGGACAGATCAGGCTTTGGGTATAGGGCCATAAAGGCCAGACCATAGGGAATTTCGTTCCATTTCCCTGCCTTTTACAGAAGAGATCAAGTCGTAATATGGGGTTATAGTTAAGACTAGCATTGTCTTGTCAGACTTCCCCATCCTTTAGTTTATTTTGGGGCAAGGCAGTGTTACAAAAGAAGATAAGTGTTTTTTATTTTTAAGCTTTCTAATGGAAGCTGGTTCCAGTTCCCAGTGTATCAAGGTCCATCTTAGGGGAGAATCCTTGGAGACAGAGGTGGAATTTCCCATTGTCTTCAGGGAGAGAGTTGACTCCTGTAATGAGAAAAGGAGCAACTAAACATGGGCTCCTGTTGTTCCCAGGAGGGAGCTCTGACCCTCCCCTAGGAATCTCAATAGAAGCTTAAAGTCCTCTGTTATCCTGAGAGCTGATCCCTCCCAGATCTTGGTAGGACCTTAATTAGGAACTCTCCCAGAGAGTTCTGGTGGCAAGTGGATCCAGTGATCCATTTGCCCTCCATCATCACAGCAGTGGCTAGCATGCTGTGTGATGACCTGCCCAGCCCTGACATTGCAGGGCCTGTGCCTCATCCTGGTGCCTTCAGTCAGGAGTGACACTCTTCCTGAAGACCCCAATAGGAACAATAAGAACAGTGTTCACTAAGCGATAACCCTGATGTCCTGGGGTGGACAGCATCATGATTCTAAGATCTCTGAGTATCTCCTTCCCCTCATTCTGTTAGGCCCCTCAACAGTTGGTGGCAAACAGCAGCTGCCAGGGCTGGGGGGTCCCTTTGATTGTCTAAATGTTTCTTGTCTGACCCACAGAAATCTTTTGATTCCTTCTACTTTGTGGCCAGTGCAGGTGGAATTAACCTGTTTTCCAGTTCTCTTCTGAACCTGTGACTTGCTTGGGTCAGATGGTATTCAGTTAAATAGTGAGTAAGGTAAACCCACAGGGAAAATTATTGTTGGGCAGGGTCCCTTGCTAGGAAGTAAAATGGCTGATAGCCTATTTTATGGTGAGCTGTGCAAACACAGCAGTGTGAGTTACAGGACCTCTACGATAGGCAGCAGAACATCCCACAGGTCTCTCTCCCCAGCCATCAATGGAGGAGAACATGGAAGTAGGTGTGAGAGGAGGTTGCTGAAACTAAATGAGGGATCAGACGCAGGAGCTATGAAATAGACCTTTCAGGTACTGCACAGCACATGGATGAGCTCCCACCACTCTCAGGATTACCTATCAGAGTGAACCCAGATGCATCAAATCTGCCTGGTATCTGCTTTGAGCCATCCCACCTGTGGTGGTTGTCAGAGGGAGCAGACACAAATGCGCTGAGAAGAGTGAGCCTGTAGTTGGCCAGAAAAGATGAGAGAAATAAGCACAAGATGCTAACACATAAGGGAAGGACCAAAAGAAAGACTACTGGTGAGATAGAGACAGCCTGGGAATATGGGACAGTTACCTAGGGATCCATGTAATGGATCTTGGAGTGCTGATTGTGAGTGTCACTTCCAAGTGTGGCCACAAAGCACTCTTTTACGTCTTGGTTTCTCCCGCTGGAAGTTTAAGACAACCAGAGGGGCTCAGAGTACGGGATGTCCTTATATGCGCATCCCCAGATGAGCCAAGGTTTTAATTACCAGTGAGGTGGAAAGCCCTATAGGACTGTTGTATGTCCTGAGAAATCATCTCTGACACTTCCATAAAACTCTTAGTTGCCTAAGAGTGCCTTTCGACTAGAAGGACCAAGTGTCCCTGTATTCTTTGAAGCTGAAAATCAGTCTTTCTTAGATGCTACCAGACCATTTGGTTCCCAGGTAGATTGGAAAGAGAGAGTAGAACAAAGGAGGAACAGTGACTGAACAACTCTCCAGCACAAGGAAGACGAGAGTTGGAGACTCATAGATGAAGAGGGTCAGTCAGTACCCTGTTGCCTGTCCTTTTATGGTCACCAAAAAGAGGTTGCTGGATGAACTGGGGAGACCTCAGTCCTTGGGGCCTTGACCCAGCCCATCCCAATGGATGTCACTGAAGTTTCTTGGTCTTGTCACCAGAGAATTCAAAGTCAGACACGACACAGTTATATGAGCAACACAAGTGGGGAAGTTTATTAAAGTGAATCTTGAGTAAGTAAATTACATCTTGAGATGTGAGAGTGGGTGAGCTCAAGTGAGAAAGAGAGCTGCATGCCCTGGGGGTTGGGTTTCTTTTATTGAGAGTTGTCAACTAGAGGGTGGAATATTTATTACTCAGGTCAGGGATTTCTTGGAAGCAAGGTTTTATGTCTTTTCTTATTTGGACAGGGTTTCCTGTCATGGCACCCGCCATCTTGGGTCTGTCTGATTTGATCCAGCTTCTTGTGGAGTGCTACCAGGACCGGCCTCTGACTTTCCCAATAGCTGCCCAAGACTTCCTCTTTGTTGGCCTTCATGTATCCTGTTAGAACCTAACTAACTGCTTGCTCTAACAGTGGGACTTCTGTTCTAAGGGGAAGAGAGGGATAATTATATAAGATTATCTCAGTGCTAAAGACTATCAAGATAGTAAAGGAAAATACTGTGATAAATTGTGTGTATGTGTTGTATGTTGTACGGAGGGCTACTTTACAGAGGAAGTCAGCAAAGGCTACTGAGAAATTAAGGCCTTAAGAGACCCTAAGAGAAAAAGGTTTTAATGTTACCCCTCCCACCATGATCCTCAAAAAACCAACCCTCCCTACTCCAAGAAACACAAAAAAATCCTTAAGCTTGTTGGCCTTTATTCTTATAGTTCAGTACAAAAGTCATTAGGTAAAACTTTTGATTATAATTGTTGTGATTCGCTCAAAATGTATAGCTGGCTTATGGTCACCTCTAATTGCAAATAACCATAGGCAAGGCACAGTGTTAAGCCTAAAAAGCTAATATTTTACTTACTAGCCTCTGTGCTGCTCTGCCCCTAGCTCTACTGTCAGGAAACCACCTAAGACAAAGGCTTTGTTGAAAGGCCCTTTCCCATTTGCTCTTTGCTGAGATGACCCCACTATCAGGAAACTATAACTGAAGATTCCTTAAAAATCTTGCAACTACAAGGGCGCCTGGGTGGCTCAGCTGGTTAAGCGTCTGACTCTTGATTTTAGCTCAGATAGTGATCTCAGGGTCATGAGATGAACCCCCATGTCAGGCTACCAGCTGAGCATGGAGCCTGCTTAAGATTATCTCTCTCCCTCTCCCTTTGCCCCTCCCCGACGTGTGCACACTCTTTCTCTTGCTTAAAAAAACAATCTCAGAGCTACAGTCATTTTTCCTTCAGAATGATATAATTGCTGTATTTTATTGATACATAGGCTTTTTCTTCTTTCACATTTAAACACTTCACAAATCGGTAGGGTCTTATAATCCCTATCATTGCCAATTTCAATCATCAAAACTTGCAAAATGGGTGTTAGGTATCTGGAAGAAAATCCTGGAGATATTAGTGGAGCATTCTCTTAAGAAATGCTCCATCATAATTCTATTTTTGGGAAAATACAAACATTTATTATTCTACATTAAAGGGTAATCCCAAAGATTCAGACTGCAAATGTAAAGAGGTATAGAAGTTCCAGGAGAGAGTTAACCAATTTATTTTATTTGTATTTTTCCATTTATGTATGCACAAGGAATAATATGATTAAAATCTGTCTAAATGTAGTCATGAGCTCTTAATAAAATATAATTCTGATGGATAGGAAGCATTATGTTATTAGCAACCTTTATTTTTTTCTACTAGTTCATAAATAATGGTGTGTCTTACAATTGATCATGTCCTAGATATGATGAAATTTGATTTAACTATTTCTGTTTGGACTATAAAAGTTCCATGGCTTTTTTTCCTCTCCACTCTCTAAGATCCACATTAGGTTGATTAAAATTTTAGACAGCAAGCAGAAAATAGCCCCCTAATCAGAGTTGTATTCCCTTCCATTTTGCCTCAAACTGTTTAGCTCCTGCATGAGCTCAGTGCTTTCATAGGACTGTGCTAAAAACAACAAGAAGCAGCCAACATATGTCAACACTGACTCTTTTCTAGTTTCTTCTTGGCTGGGATATAGTTTGCCTTTGAAGGTATCACAGATGGTGGATGGTGTTAATAAATGTTTTGTACAGCATAGTAAGGAACACAGCATTCCACCCTGTAACATCTGACTTCTCTTTGCCTGTATCCAAATATTGCCATGGAGCTAATGCCACGTGGGATTTTATTCTGGGTAGTATATCTGTCTACCTAACATTTATATTGTTATGGTAAAAAAGAGAGAATGGATATTGGGAGGTGTGGGGAAGAAAAAAAATTTTCTATGCCCTTCAAGATTGTTCTAACTGGACTAAGAATTAAATTGACATAAGACAGATGAACAGCTGAAAATCAAACTTAATTTTGTATGTGCAGGTAATCCACATAGAGATGAGATTCCGAAGACAGGCAAAATGAGGTATATATGTTATCCTAAACTAAAGAGAAGGGAGTAGGAGTCTAGGACTTCAAAGGGAAGGAATACAATTCATAGGAAGATTAAAAAAAAAAAAGGGAATATTGGTAAACAAATTTTTCCTGGGCCACTCAGAAACAATGGGACATAGAGGACTTTGATCAAACAGG